ACACACATACTTTTTAGGAAAAAAAAAAGAGCGCGCTAATATAACACAACTATTATATTTCATGAGAGTAAATAAGAGTAAACAAGCAGCTACAATCATATCTTTTTATTGTTTTTGCTAGAAATTATCGAAGATAATACAAATATTAATTTCAAGATGAATATTTTTTATCATAATTATAATCACACTGCGTGAAACTATTTTGATTTGCAAGAATATTTTCACAAGGGCAACATTTCTTTAATCTTAATTTATGGTAATAATTAGATAAACAATTTAATGTGAGAAGAAATCCGTGAAAAAATTATGTATTAAATAAGAAATGTAAATAATAAGAAATGTAAATGTAAAAACTATGGAAAACGGATGACATTTATAATGCAAGATTTAAAGAAAATTCTGCCAATAATTCTCGTCTAAAGAACTTAAAAATATTAATTTACATAATCTTGCACCACTCAGACGACTCCTTTTTTCAGTTAAAATATTACCTGCCTTGCTAAAGAGGCGTTCACTAGGTACGGAAGTAGCGACAATAGTCAAATATTTAATAGCTATTTTGTACAATTTAGGATATTCCGCCTTCACTTGATACCAGTGAGTTAAAGGATCGTCAGTTCTTTGGATTATGGGTCGATTTAAAAATTGTCTCAATTCGACAGGAACGCCTCCAGGTTCATCAAAATCTGTGATAATAGAAGATGCTAATTCATCATGAATGTTCCAGATAGTATTATCATCATTTACTACAGGAGCTAACCTATTTCGTGGTTTAGTCGTATTAGCTGCTACATTATCTTTGACTTTCATTAATTTAGATATTTTTTCAATAGTAATTGAAACTGACAGAGGATTTCGAAAATGAAGTTTTTTAAACCGCGGATCTAGCATAGTCGATATTGTAAGAAAATCATTTTTTTCAATATTTGATCCATCTGAATAAAATCGTTTAATTATTTGATTTTGAATGTTTTTATGTAAAATTTTACCAGGTTCCGTGACAGGCAATGACTTTTCCATAGTTTTCACTAAACAATTAACAATAGGAATAATTTTGCTACATGTCACATATCTATCACCAGACATTTCCACTGTAATTTTTTCTAATGGCGATAAAATTGTCATTATTTCTTTAGCTATTTGAATTTCACTTTGCATTAACATATCTGGTTTTGAATATCGTATTAAGATCATACTAATAAACTGAGTCAATTGCAAAAATCGAGAAAGCATGTAATACATCGAGTTCCATCGAGTTTCACATTCTTGTTTCAGTTTAAGTACGGCCCCTTCTTTTATGCCATTTTTTACCTGAAGTTTTCTCAATTCATCAGATGCATTTACACTATGTTTAAAAAATGTTACTATAGCTTTTATTTTATCTACTATCATTTTTAATTCAGAAGACGCTTTAATAGAATCTGTTACAATTAAATTAATAGTATGCGCAAAACATGGTAAATGTTTTCGTAATTCAAATGAATTAATGACAGCTTTTACAATATTTGCA